AAAAAAAAAAAAAAAAAAAAAATTAGAATTGAACAATTTTAAAAATAAACATTGGTTGATTATTAATAAAATTAAAATATACCTTTATCACTAATTTTTAATTGAGAAATATCAATTTGGAAAAATTCTAATTAATAAAATAAAAATTTATTAATTTTTCTTTTTAATTTATTTCGAAAGTTTTTTTAAAAATAAACAAAATCTTTAAATACCTGAACATTCTATGCTTATTATATTATCATTTTGTTCATAATAATTATCAGAATTCTTTGGTTCAGGAAGATTATCAAAACTAAGTAATCTACTTGTATAAATAGCTCCAGGATGTTTTTCATAGGATAATGCAGAACTGGTTTTCATACTCACTTCTGCTTCTTTAATTTGTTTTTTTAATTCTATTTGATCTTCAAAATCATGCCACCATGGGTATATAGTTTTTCTAACTTCAAATGCGTCCGGTCGATTTAATGGATTTGCATCCAAGCATTTTTTAATTAAATCCACAATTAATGGTGGTATTTTCATATTAAACCTTGGTCTGAGCCCTTGACAAATTTTTATTGCTAAATTTTCGTCATGTCTTACATCGTAGTACGGGGGTAACCCAGAAATTATTTCATACATAATTATTCCAAAACTATAAACGTCTGCGGCTTTTGTATAAATTTGTCCTCTTAAAATTTCAGGGGCAATATAAGGTAAAACTCCATATATACCATTTTTTGTATTTTCCGATTCATTATAATCCGCAGGTTTACATAATCCTACGTCAGTTATACAAGTTTGAACATTATTCTTTAATACGTTGCCAGAATGTAAATTTCGATGAACTACTTCATTTTCATGAATACTGGCAAGTCCAAATGCGGTACTACATAAATAATGAATCTTATTTTCCCATTTTAATTCATGATAACTTTTATCCAAATAATTTCTTAAACTTCCATTCTCTGCATATTCCATAACCATCATATAATTTTTTGTTTTTGGATCTTGGGTTATTCCATAAAATTCTATAACAAATCCATTACATTTTTTAATTTTATAATGCAAAATAACCTAAGTATACCGTATATAAAGTATTAATAAAACGTTAAAAAAAAAAAATGAAATTTTTCAAAAATTTTTAAAATTATTTTTAATTATATTATACCTCATTTACCTCGTTTGTAAATTCTGATGTAACTTTTTTTGAATTATTCAAACTTTTCAGGGCCACGATCATATTTTGACTACATCTTTCCCAATTTTTATTTTTAGTATCCCAATATTGTATATTTCCATCCTTCCATTTTGCTCTATATATTTTTCCAAACCCTCCTTCCGAAATATATTTAATATCAGTAAGTCTCTTATAAGGTATCCATTCTAATGCTATTGATACATCATAATGTGCTGATAGTTGAGTACCTTGGATTAATTTATCTATATTACTATTACCACTAGACCATTTTTTGAAATTGTGTTTAAAATGGTTTACATTACAAAAAAGAGAATTATAACCACATTCTTTACATATATCATCATTATTAGAACCCATTGAGACTTTTTCTTTTAGGATGGTGTAGAAATTGGTAAATAGTTAGAAAAAAATAAATATGATCTTCGAAAACCGTAAAATTATTTGGGTTTAACTGGATGATTTAAAAAGGTAAAAATAAAGTTTGTGCGAAATTAAAAAAAGAAATTGTGTAATAGAAATTTCCGAGATCGTCCCGAAAGCTGGCAGCGCGAAAAGTATTTTAACCAAAGTTTAAGTGTATAATTTAATTGGATTAAATAAAATTATTACTGAAATAAGAAAGTTCAAAACTTAACTACGTTATACAATATTACTTTTCTATCATATAATTTATCCGAGTCGTTATCCAGGTTGTTACTGGTTTATTTTTATACAATTACCGATAATAAATTGTTTGCATATTTACTGCAATTTAGGTGTCACACGTACTGTATCACATGGTGTTGATTATTCATTATTATTATTTTTTTCACGAATTAAAATTTGATTATTGATTAAATAAAAAAAAATACTCTAATCTGTCATAAATTAAAAAAAAAATAAATAAAATGCAAGATTCTCACGTATGTTGCATTCTTTCGTTCTTTCTTTTAATTAAAATCATTGTTTCGAAAATGATTGCATTCAATTTTGTTACACAAGCTTAAAAAAAATGCATTTTATTAAAAAAAAAATCGTATGACAGAGAAATAATTAAATTTTATTTCTATGAACTTAAAAAAAAATCGTGTGAGTAAAAACTATGATTTAAAAAATAAAGATGAAACATTTAAAAATCTAATAATTGTAATACAATATTATAAATATTATGAAAGATCGAATTTTCAAAGGACATACAAAAAAGAAAAATCCGATGGCGTAACTTAAAAAAGTAATCCAATTTGATCGAAATTTATATCGCAACAATAAATTTTTTTAATTTTAAAATTTTATTCTAAGCATAAATGTTCCGTCGTGAAACCATAATATCTTTAATGTTGTGTCGTATGAAAAAAACAATGGCATTTGTGTAACATTTATATCAGCATTATATACATACCATGTAACATTTTCTAAATTGTTGTACTGAGTGAATTTTTTACTTAATCAATCATATCAGATATCCGATTAAAAAAATTAGCCAAATGAAATTACAATGCTTATATTATAGTTATACATTCGGTCATAATCTCACTATTGACAATCATAGTTTCCCTGGCGCATTTTTACAGTTTTTAATGACAAGATTGATAATAAAAAAAGTTAAAGTACACCATTTTCGAAGGAATCAATTTGTCGTTAGTAAATTCGAATTTATGTTCCAACGAAATTTTTTCGAGGAATTTTAAAAAATTAAAAAAATAAAAATAAAAATTTAAAACTCGGTAAAAATATTAAATTTAGGTCATTGATATTTTTGCGAATTTATAAAATTAAAAAACTTTTGTTTTTATCTTGGTTCAGTACACGTTAGAATTATCTTGACCAATTCGTTCGCTCGTTCAATTCTACGTCTTTGAAGGATATTTCCAAACTTGGTCCCAATCGGCGAGATAATATAGGATTTGGTCGTGGGACCAACATATCCGGGTAAAAAAAGGCGCATATCATTTTAATTTAATAATGTCAAATGTCAATATATACCGTATATCTTAGTATTTTAATGATAATTTTAACTTATTTTTACGATAATGGTTCGTCTAAGATTTCAAAATTTATGATAGTATACAAGCGTACAGTACACTTATAATGCATAAGTATAGTTTGACTTATATTTTGTGGTGACATAATTTCTCATATGACGAATTTAAATAATAACACATTATCTTGTAATACATAAATAAATTTGTTTTATAAGAAAAGGTTGACAAATAAGTCTAGAAGCCATTATTTCATGTATGACTAAATTTAAATTTACCAGTAATATTACCGGACATGTAGTGTCACGAACATTTTTGCAAATCTGACGAGTGATGACGGAATAAACTAAATAATTCCATTCTTCCTTTAAATTTAAATATTATTAAACTCTGGCTAATTTCATCTTTGTAAGTGTAAAAGTCGATAATAAACAATTCGATGGAATTATGAAAATTATTCAACCAAGAGCTTAAAAATGATCTACATTTTTAATCATAATGTTGGCCGGAATTAAAATTAATTCATATCAGTCACATGACACGTTAACTTCGCTCCGAGAAAAAAAAATTGGCATTTTTTCATGTCATATATTTTTTACTTAGGGATTAATTTTATTGAATCAATAATAATAAAATAAACGCAACATATTAAATATTATTTAAGCTAAGAAAATTGCAATGTAATTCTGAGATATGCAGTATAAAAAAAAAAAAATAAGACGTAAAAACCGCTACTAAATATAAAATATTAATTAATTATGATTTTTGTTCTAAATTCTGTGCCTCGTCATTAGAATTGATATTTTGGTCTATAATATTATAAGAAATAGAAATAAAAATGTTAAACATAAATAAAAAAACAATTATTACAGATACAAGTTAAAAAATTTACCGTCTTCAATAATATTCGATTGAGAAACATCGATTTGTAAGGATTCTGTTTAAAAAAATTAAATTTTAAATTATTTTCTCATAACTCGTCTTTATAATAAAAAAAGTTAACAATACCTGAATATTCCGTGCTTGTTATATTATCGTAATGTTCATAATAATCGTCAGAATTTTTTGGTTCGGGAAGATTATTAAAATTAAGTAATCTACTAGTGTAAATAGCTTCTGAATGTGTTTCATATGATAATCTTAAATGGGTTGTAGGCTCATTACACGTTAATGAATTATTATTTATTTCTTCTGCTTCTTTAATTTGTCTTTGTAATTCTGTCGTTTGTTCATCACTTGGTTTATATCGCCATATTTCTATAATTGATTGAATTTCATTTGCTGTAGGTCGATTTAACGGATTTGCATCTAGACATCTTTTAATTAAATGCAAAATTAATTGAGGTACTTTGATATTAAATTTCGGTCTAAGCCCTTGGCAAATTTTTATTGCTAAATTTTCATCATGGCTTACATCACGGTATGGAGGTAAACCAGAAATCATTTCATACATAATTATACCAAAACTATAAATATCAGAGGCTTTAGTATAATTTTGTCCTCTTAAAATTTCAGGAGCAATATAAGGTAAAACACCATATGTACTATTTTTTGTATTTTTTGATGCATCGTAATCTGCAGGTTTACATAATCCCATATCAGTTATTTTATCAAAGTCTGTCATTAATATATTACCAATATGTAAATCTCGATGAATTAATTCATTTTCATGAATATGTAAAACTCCACATGCAATATTAAGTATATGATAAATCTTATCCTTCCAACTTAATTTATGATAATTTATATCTAAATAATTTCGTAAACTTCCATTCTTTGCATATTCCAAAACCATTACATAATTTTTCGTTTTTGGTTCTTGAGTTATTCTATAAAATCCAACAATAAAACCGTTATTTGCACCTTCTTTATAATGTAATGTAATCTATATATAAAATAAATTGCGTTAATACTAAAATAAAATTATAATATATTTAATATATTTCAAACCTTAGAAATTGAACTAATTATTACCTCATTCATAAACTTTAATGTAACATTTTTTGAGTTATCTAAAAATTTCAAAGCCACAATTATATTTTTATCTTTTTTATGTCTGTCAATCCGATTTGCTTTATATACCCTATCAAACCCTCCTTTTGCAATATATTCAATATTAAAAAATTTATTATAAGGTATCCATTCTAATGAACTCCTTATTTCATAGGTTGAATGTGCTGATAACTGAGAACTTTGAATAAGTTTATCGATATCATTATTACCACTTGTCCAATTTTTAAAATTTTGTTGAAAATGTATTGATTCACAAACATAATTACATTTTTCGCATATATCATCTAAAACGAACATATATTTTTTCTTTTTTGGATCTTGAGTTATTCCATAAAATTTATGATTTATCGTAGCCTATACAAAATATAAAATATAAATATATTAGGAAAAAATTATAATCAAAATTTTCATAAATAATAATTTTTTTTTTAATTTTACCTCGTTCATAAATTCTGAAGCAATATCATCTGGATTTTCTAGAGTTTTTAGGATTATAAACATATTTTTAGTCCAAGTTGCTCTATATACTTCTCCAAATTCTTTCAAAGTATATTCAATATTATTAAATTTATTATAAGGTATCCATTCAAATGCTTTTATTTTTCCATGTGCTGATATTTGAATATCTTGAATAAATTTATCAATAACATTATTACCGCTAGTCCAATTTTTGAAATTTCGTTGATAATGTAGTGCGTTACACGTATATTTACATTCTTTACATTTCCAATTTTTTTCATTATTAATATATAATGATTTAGTCCTCTTTTCTTTATCCATTAAAAAAATCTTTTGGATTAATGGAATAATTATATTTATTACTACGGAATTGTAAAAATTAGGGAAGATTGAACTAAAAAATTGCAGTTACAATATAAAAGGGCGAAATAGAAATTAAAAAATTTTAAAGATCAACCTGAAGATCATATGATATTAATGTTACCGAAATTTCCAAATTCCAATAGCTGACGAAAATTAAAGTTGTACTGTACAATCTGTACATCCAGAAACGAATAAGGACAACAAAAGAACAAAAGAACAAAAGAACAAAAAGACAAACTATTAAAGAAAGGATCAGAGGTTGACGTTATAAAGATGTACTAGTCACGTGAGCGTCAGACAAAAAATTTGGTGTCATGTGTCACTCACCCAGTATAAATGACAAATGTAAGATCGAATGTATGTTTTTCGCTTTTAATAAAAAAAAAACTGACAACATTAAAATACAGCATAAACTAGATCTACACTTCCAAACATGACAGAAGATAAGAATATATACTGTCATTTCTGTTATAATTAAAGCACCTGAAAACGAAAATACAGACGGTACACCTGCAAGACTTCCGGAAAATTTACAACGATTTATGACGATTTGCCCGAAAAATATCAAAGGTTTTGCGATAATCTTAGAACCTATGCAGAAAAAAAACTTATATTGAGTTTAAGATGATAGAAAGAAATATCGTAAAAAAGGAGTATGATTTGTTTTGTTTTGTTTGCTTTTTGTTTATACTTATTCGCAACAGAGATTTACACAATTAACCTATAGATTCTTCGTCTTTTCAATATTTTTCTGACTATAGCTGTTGTTACCACCGATTATTAACGTTCGGTCAGGTAGTAACAGAAAAATAAATAAGGATCAGTTAGTAATCGCAAGGTAATATGACGTTAAATGTCAGGTGTTAAAGCAAATCGGTTAATGTATGTGCAAATAATAAGCAATTGATAAATAAACGATAAAGTAATTAAAACGTGTATTTATTAATCTGTTTATAATCGGAGTGAAACTGTGTATAAATAATAACAAAACGATATGTAACCAAAAGTCAATATAGGATAGTGAACATTTTGAAGAAATAAACGAATTGTAATAAATCGGAACGGGGTTAATTAACACTTAGATATACAAATATTACAGCCGATAGAGGCAGTAATATCGTATTTTATTTATCTTTTGAAAATAAAACCAAGTATTTTCTCTCTACTCTACTTCCCAAAACCTTCACCATCAGCTGTATATTTATCATCTGAAATCTGGTACGAATTTTCTTATCGGACAAATTTAGCATCCGGCCAATTTTTTCTCCCGGCCAAATTCGCCGATCGTCACGATTTTGCCTGTTTAATAAGCCTCCTTGATCTTAGCCACCCAGCCATCTCTAAGACACTAAGCCTCCTATTTTCCGTCTATACGCATAAAAATAAATTAAATAATATATAAAAATAAAATAAAATAAACTAAAGATACATAACCTAAACTAATACAACCTAATATATCCTAATATATCCTATAGAAAAAAAACAAATCGTAACACTGTCTTATTCTTATCATTAAATCATTAACAAGTGACGTTAAAGAATCAAATCAAGCAAATTCATATCTTGCTGTGTTAATTGAACAAGCTATTGCAAAAATAGTTGATTTATATTGGAGAATGGGCTTTAATAAAAATTTATTCTTTATTCAATTATTATATTGATCTTCCCGGTGGTTGCAGGTGTCATATCGGCGGATTTGTTTCATCACCTAAATATGCTGAATTTTTGCCTTATGCAGGCACAGCAAAGTTAAGGATGCGTTACACGATATCCATAAAGATGTGTGATTAGAAAAAAATACAATTTTGATCGATTTTAATTTTAGCCGGAATTAACATAATTTTGGCCAGATTTATGATATGTAGATCAGTGTAACATCATATGATAACACTAAAATGTTTTTTTACATTCAATTTAATTTATAATTTTAAAAAGTACACAAGTAGTATATGAGTCTACAAGTTAAAACTTAAAAATTGATTTTAAATTATAAATTTAATCTATTATAGTATTTATAATACCTTAAATTTAAAGTATAATAAGAAAAAAAACATTACCACTTACGAAAAAAAAATAGTGAAATATAAAGATAACCAACCAAACTCTTTTCAAAAATTCACTTTCAAATATCTCTACAATAAGTCTTCTCAAATGAACCTATATAAGCAAAAAAGAAGAATTTAGAACAATATTTTTTTTAAAAAAGTTCTTTAATCTAAAAGGTAAAAACAAAAAAAAAGAAATAGAAAACTAGCCAAAAGAATAAAAAAAAATCTCCAGCACTAAATATTCATACAACTCACAAACTGACATACCCTAAGTTAGATGGGTTGTGACTATGTCGGATGGGTTAAAACACGCTTTTTTAAAAAATATTTTTTTTTTTAACATTGGCAAGTTCAAAAAAAAAAAATTTGATCTGCAACTCACCTGATGTGAAATCATGTGTTTGCTGATCAGTTTAGTATTACACAAAAGGACCAATGAGGCAATAAAGTAATTTTATCCCGTGAATCAAATCCGCCCATATGTATTAGCTGCTGAAAATTTTCTACCAACTTCAGCCTTAGAGTTGGTTGGCCAAGTAGTAACATTATCTGAATGGTTTGCTGAGTACTTTGGTTGATTGAATTTTAAAAAACGTTTTATTGAATGTGTACATCATTTGTTATTTTGTAAATTTCTGTCCCTGTAATCTTAATTGCTACATGAAAATGATATTGTGCAAATCGGATCATAGCTCATGTTTCTATTGCTGGACATTCATTAAAAATATATTTTCACAATTAAAATAAGCGAGTAATTAAATAAGTTTACTCCTTGAATAGACAAACAATTAAATAGATTATGATTAATTGTGCACGGGTTTTAAGTTTTAACGTATTTTTGAATCAGGTGATAGAGAACTCCCAATTTAGCCTTGTTTGTATTATTCCTAATAAATAGGCACTCCTTAATTTTTCGTCATAATCTCATATCATTATTGTGCTCGCTGCAAGCAAATTAATTTATAATTAATTTTCTTTATATATCAAGATTTTTTAGCTATAAAGTGAATTGGTATAATGTTGGTTGCCATAATAGTTGTAGCAGGTTGTAAAATTGTGGCATATTGTTATAAAATTGTAACTTTGTGCCATAAGTGACATAATGGTAATGTTCAGGGTGTAGCGACTTTAATTAATTATTTCTCTTTCCTTAATTTTTATTTCACAATTTGTTTTGGAAAATGAATAGTCATTATTGTCATTATTTTAAAAGGACTGGTTCCACACTATAGATAAAACTTAATTCTGACCGGGATTAAGTTTTATTAGTTTAATTTCTGCTAGTCTACTTTCGGCCCTTGTTTGTAAAAGGTAAGTTGATTATATCAGATCCCAATAATAGTTTTTGTATAAATTTATACCAAACGGGCTCATTGGCTTGAAATTAGCTCAAATTTATGCAAAAAAATAATCCAAATTTATGCCAATCTAGAGACAAATTTATACAAAAACTATTTACTGGGAGACCGATAGTAAAAGTGATTTTCAAAAATTAATTCCTGACAACTTACGGCATAATCTTGTATAGCAACTTTAAATATGGTATATTCGCAATTTTGAATTGTAATTCGAAACTAGGATTGCCAGCAGGTTGAATTATTACCAACGGAGGCAGGTGATTGACAGTTGCGCCACATTATCGGCGTAACCTGTCACACATTTCGGACGTGCTCCCCGGCTCCCCCCTTAGGAAATGAGTCATTTCTGGCCATCCCCTTACTGATTGGATATTTTATTTTCTATCAAAAAATCAAATACCAGTAGATATGTTCATTTCTTTGTTCGTACAACATTAACATTGGCGCAATCCACCTAGCCAATTGTTTTGGCACATTTTAAAAAATACATAAATGTTTGGCATCGACAATTTAACAGCAATTTATTACCCAATCATATTTTTTTAAAAGAGCAAAAAATTACAATGAAGAAAAATATAGAATAAATTCTTGGATTTAACTTGTGGGCAAAAAATCTTTTGTTCAGCTGGAAGAAATATAGTTCTGGCCTGTCGATTGTATTAAAAATTTTATGTAGAATAATACTAATAGATATTGCATCAATGAGACAAAGATCATGCTTTAAAATAGTAGTCTATATGATTGCAAATATATTTGATATTAATTATTTAGCTATTGATAAAAAATACGATCCTAATAGACTAAACAACAAAAATTATTAATAAGTAAAGAAAAAATATATACAATTAATAAGAATTTTTAATAAAACAAATTAAGAATGATGAAAGTTTGTGATCTCTGATAATATTTCGTCGCAGATTGTCAGGACGCCTTATTCATATCATCAATAGTCATTCAAATTATTTTCAAGATTCGTTATATGTTGAAGCAATTGTTTCAAGTAAACTTGCTTTAGTCGAATACTATACAATATAAAATAATTCTTTTTAAGGTTTAATATAGCAGTAACGATATATAATTTATATTTTCCAATTTTCTAATTCCTTGCAACCTTAACAAAATGTTCATGTTAAAGAATAAAAAAAAAAAGTTTATCAATTTTATTTATATGGTGAAAACGACAAAAAACAACTCCCTAAATAAAGAAGATTATCCACTAATAACGACATCCACATTCCATCTTTGAAATGTATTAATAAATTATTTTTTTCATTAAATTTGTTTAACATGAAAATTTCCATACTTATTAAACTGTTTCATATCAACAAATGTAAATCTGCTGATAAGATAGAAGAAAATGAGGATGAGGTGATGTGAAAGCGATGTTAATTCTTCATCGAGATGCACACGAGTGCATTATTCTTGTATGTACGAAAGAAAGAAAATTTTCATTTACTATACATTACAAATAAGTGTAAATTATGATTATTTGATCGGATTGCTAAAATAAAATCTCATTTTCATTTTCCGAACGTTAAGCACATTCATTTATATTAAATTTTTAAAATAATTTAAGATCCAAGGTATTTCGTAAATACAAATTAAAAGAAATAAAAATAATTCATATTTATTTAATTTAATTTATATAATACTGTACAGTATATGAAATAAATAAATGCATTATAATGTATGAATATACAAATATAAGATAAGGTCAAGTACCTGTAACTATAATAAAAGTTACTATCATAAATAAGCTAGTTTACTAAAATTTCTTTTTGTTCCATCTGTAATATTGAAAAATATTATTATGTTTAATATTTAATATAATAAAAGTAAAAAACAATACATTAGTCTATCATTATACATACCAGCATCACTAATTTTCAACTGAGAAAAATCAATTTGTAAAGATTCTGTTTAATGAAATAAAATTTATTAGCATTTTTCATAATTAATTTACAAAATTATTAATTACCTGAAAATTTTTCACTAATTATATTGTCATTTTGTTCATCATAATAATCATCAGAATTTTTTGGTTCAGGAAAATTATTAAGTAATCCACTTGTATAAACAGCTTCAGAATGTTTCATATGATAAACTAGTTAAAGGTACATTACTGGTTGGCAAATTATTATTGATTTCCTCTGCTTCTTCAATTTGTTCTTGTGGTTCTGTTTGACTATCAAATTTGATCTAAAATTTCTTTAATTTTATTTTCGATTTAATGGATTTGCATCTAAGCATCTTTTAATTAAATGAATAACAAGAAAATTTTGTTTTAACTCCTGTCCTATCGGGATTGTTTCTTGACAGTTAAATTTTGAGTATTAGAAGTAGGCGCCATTAATTTGGAAATTCCGTGTCACGAAAATAGAAAGTTAAGACTTCAGGTGAAAGTTAATTTTATAAAACAATAACTTCAATATTTCTTTCTTTTTTTTTTTATTAAGAGCTTAAAAATTCAATCTAATGCCGACCGATTATAAACAATTATTAGGTTATAATTATAATTATAATTATATTTCGCAATTTCTCTCACGTTCTTTTTTTTAAAGAATTATAAATCGAATAGATAGCTAATTTTTATAAATTTTTAGTGATGTTTACAAAAATATCTCAGAATTAAGAGACGTATCTATTCAAAATTCTTTTCTCGTTTGTGTATTTAGTTTATCCAAAAAATTACACTTATCAAGAATAATTAATAACGCATTAATTTATTCCGATACTGTTACGAACTGAATTTATAAATCAGATAATTATTATTTACAATATTTTGAACAAGTCCATCACATCTCAAAAGGTTATAAAGTTATTTAGTATCAAGTGCAAATATTGTCCGCGTGACTTATTAATATTATCAAACGATTATTGGCCAAAATTAAAAATTTCGGTAAAATTCACTGTAAATATATTTTTTTAAACACAATAGTTTATTATTAGAATTTGAAGAACTTTTACTTCAAATAGACTTTAAAAGATTAAGAAATTTTATATAAGCAGCTTGAATAAGTAAAAGCCTATTTGAGACGGAGACAAAAATTATTTGATATTTAATAATAATCGTCAGAATTTTATTTAATATTAAGTACGGTGTAGTGAAAAAAAATTACTAATAGCCCAAAATTTAATTTAAAATTTGTCTCGTATATTGCTCAATTACAAACTGATTTTTATTTATATTAAGAAATGATAGCTCTATAATCAGTGTTGAACAAAAATACATATACTTTAAAATATATAAAAAAATAATAAATAGATAAGTAAATCAAAATATATTTATCATCTTCGATGACAACCTATGAATATTTTAATGTCTATGAAATTAGAAGGTTTATTAATAATATTACTATTAATGAAATCACATTCACATTTAATTAAACTTACGTTTGTTCATACAGTAGATTCAATCAATTCTAAATGATTCAAAATCATTGCTATTGTCTGACTTTAGAACACTTTCTGTAAATGATTAGTAATTGATATAAATAACTTTGATAGATAGCCAAGTAAATTAGTCTATTATAGTTAAATTATGTTAATTTAAATACCTGAATATTTTTTGCTTGATATATTTTCATATGACTTATAATAATCATCAGAATTTTTTGGTTCAGAAAGATTTTCAAAATTAAATGGTATACTTTTATAAATAGCTCCAGGATGCTTTTTATTTGTCATAGACGAATTATTAAGTAATGATTTATTAATTTTTTCAGCTTCTTCAATTTGTTCGATTAATTCCGTTCGAGTTAATTCTTCTTGATTCTCTTCATTCTTTATATAATACTTATTATATTCTTCTCGCCATCCATGAAATGTTCTTGCAAGTTCTCTTATGTCTGGTCGTTTTAATGGATCTGCATCCAAACATCTTTTAATTAAATGCAAAATTATTTGGGGTACTTTAATATAAAATTCGGGTCTTAATCCATCACAGATATTTAATGCAAATAAAAGGTCATGAGCAATATTTTTATATGGAGGCGATTCTGAAATTACTACATATATAATTATGCCCAAACTGTAAATATCAGATGCTTGGGTGTAATTTCCTCCTCTTAAAATTTCAGGTGCCAAATAAGATATAACACCAAACTTATCTTCCTTACTTTCTAATTCATTATAATTTGCTGGTTTACATAATCCCATATCAGTTATACATGGGATTGAATCACATACTATATTTCCAATATGCAAGTCTCGATGAATTAATCTTTTGCCATGAATTTTATAAAGCCCACTTGAAATATTAAATAACATATCAAATTTAGATTTCCACATCTGCAAGTTCAAATCCAAATTCACTTGAGGCCATTTATCTATTTTATATTTTTTATTCATATCTTTTCTTTTTTCGTTCAAATAACTTAGTAGATTCCCCCTTTTAGCATAATTCATAACCATAATATAGTTTTTTGTTTTGGGATCTAAAGATATTCCATAACATCTAATAACTTGTTGCGGTGCCTTGACTCTCTGTATTCTTAAATGGATTGTAATCTAATTATCGTAAATAATTAATTAGTAAACAATAATTTAAATCATATTAAAATATACAGTGTAAATTATACCTCATTAATAAATTCCATTGTAATATTTTGTGATTTACTTAAACTTTTAAGAGCTACAAGTTTACTTTTATTAAGTCTACTCCATTGATTCTTACCCGTATCCCAGTGTGAAATATAGCCATCTTTCCATGTTGCTTTATGAACTTCACCAAATCCACCTTCTGCAATAAATACAGGGTTATTAAATCTATTATATGGTATCCACTCTAATATTTGACAACAATTTTTTGCTGATAATTGAGTATTTTGAATGAACTTATCAATATCATCATTACCACTAGCCCATTTATCAAAATTTTGTTGAAATCTTTTTGAATTACAAGTTTGACACCAATTCTTTCCTGTAATTATTTCATTACATTCCATACATCTTCCATATATTTCCTCATTATTTTTTGAAATACAACTTTCACAATATTTACTTTTTGTATCACTTATTTGTTTGCATCGATAGCATTCGCGTATTCGTTCTTTTCCATCTAATGGATGCATGGCAAAATTAAATTAAAAATTTTATTGTTAAAATCTTTTTATCTTGTAAATTCATCTACTGAAAATTTTTGTTGGAAATAATTGTTAATGGAACGATTTGGAACGGTTTATACAGTACTTTATATACCGTACTTCAGATGATCGACATGATCATGAGGGTTGTGTAATATCACATGCAATCTATACCATTTATTCCAAAATATCAGAGATAGTTACACCAAAATGTTTTGACCATTACTTTATTCTTTTATTCTTTATTTTGATTCTTGCCAAAGAAAAAAAGGCTTATAACTCTAATCCCGAATGAGTTTTCTATTAATCTTGTTAAAGATTCATTTTTGCTATATTGTAAGGTATGTGTAATTGTTTATTTATTTATTTATTTAAAATGAGGTAGCGAAAAATCATTATATTAGTCAATGAAAATGATCAAAATTTCTAAGCCACGCCGATCACAATTTTTTCTCTCATACTATTTTTAAATAAAAAACTATAGGATTCTGATGTACGGCGACTGTGTCACCGCCAGTCATAATTTTATTGGCGCAATTAGGAAAAAATTGTATGATAACTTCTGTATTATCTAAATTTATGAAAATAATATAATGTAATGATGTATTCCTTTTTTTCAAATTATTAATATAAAATAGTTATAATTATAATTAATCCTGATATGAAAAATATATTTCATTTAGATTAAATATTAACCCATATATAAGGATCATTTAAATTATGAATTAAGAACATTATATTAATGACATTTATTTGTAAATTTCTAGGATCTAAAATTTATCAAACGAAGCATATTTCTCAACAATTACTAATGATGTCTCGACAAGAACAAACAAAGCTCTGGAATCCTTACTAAAGGGAAAACATTCATACTGCTGACAAATATTTGTAAAAATTATATGGTCTGGACAAAAAAAAAGAAACATGTATTGAAATTTTAATATGGAATAATTAAGTTTATATAGTTGTAGTTAAATAAATAAAATGAATTATTTAAATTACAAACTAAGGATATTGCAAACATTGTTACTAGGGATGGCAACGGTCGGTCATGGTCGGTCATCGGTCGGTCATAACCGGTCAAGAACCTTTGACCGACCGACCGACCGTTTGACCGACCGGTNGTTATTAAATCTATTATATGGTATCCACTCTAATATTTGACAACAATTTTTTGCTGATAATTGAGTATTTTGAATGAACTTATCAATATCATCATTACCACTAGCCCATTTATCAAAATTTTGTTGAAATCTTTTTGAATTACAAGTTTGACACCAATTCTTTCCTGTAATTATTTCATTACATTCCATACATCTTCCATATATTTCCTCATTATTTTTTGAAATACAACTTTCACAATATTTACTTTTTGTATCACTTATTTGTTTGCATCGATAGCATTCGCGTATTCGTTCTTTTCCATCTAATGGATGCATGGCAAAATTAAATTAAAAATTTTATTGTTAAAATCTTTTTATCTTGTAAATTCATCTACTGAAAATTTTTGTTGGAAATAATTGTTAATGGAACGATTTGGAACGGTTTATACAGTACTTTATATACCGTACTTCAGATGATCGACATGATCATGAGGGTTGTGTAATATCACATGCAATCTATACCATTTATTCCAAAATATCAGAGATAGTTACACCAAAATGTTTTGACCATTACTTTATTCTTTTATTCTTTATTTTGATTCTTGCCAAAGAAAAAAAGGCTTATAACTCTAATCCCGAATGAGTTTTCTATTAATCTTGTTAAAGATTCATTTTTGCTATATTGTAAGGTATGTGTAATTGTTTATTTATTTATTTATTTAAAATGAGGTAGCGAAAAATCATTATATTAGTCAATGAAAATGATCAAAATTTCTAAGCCACGCCGATCACAATTTTTTCTCTCATACTATTTTTAAATAAAAAACTATAGGATTCTGATGTACGGCGACTGTGTCACCGCCAGTCATAATTTTATTGGCGCAATTAGGAAAAAATTGTATGATAACTTCTGTATTATCTAAATTTATGAAAATAATATAATGTAATGATGTATTCCTTTTTTTCAAATTATTAATATAAAATAGTTATAATTATAATTAATCCTGATATGAAAAATATATTTCATTTAGATTAAATATTAACCCATATATAAGGATCATTTAAATTATGAATTAAGAACATTATATTAATGACATTTATTTGTAAATTTCTAGGATCTAAAATTTATCAAACGAAGCATATTTCTCAACAATTACTAATGATGTCTCGACAAGAACAAACAAAGCTCTGGAATCCTTACTAAAGGGAAAACATTCATACTGCTGACAAATATTTGTAAAAATTATATGGTCTGGACAAAAAAAAAGAAACATGTATTGAAATTTTAATATGGAATAATTAAGTTTATATAGTTGTAGTTAAATAAATAAAATGAATTATTTAAATTACAAACTAAGGATATTGCAAACATTGTTACTAGGGATGGCAACGGTCGGTCAGAGGTCTTTGACCGACCGATATCGGTCACGGTCATGACCGGTCATAACCGGTTAATGACCGTGACCGTTGCCATCCCTAATTGTTACTCTAATCTTAGGGTTTAAATAATTTGAAATAAATAACTAATTTATAAAAAAAAATAATGTATTGCTTTAATTTAGTAAATAGTTAAGATCCATCTTACTCGTAGTATAATTTATTTGCATATATTGGTATCCAATTTCATGATATTGTACTTCTAAAATTATAATTTATTACATTAATAATGATAAATAATATATGAAAATTTCAGTAATAACTACCTTCATTATTATTTGAATTGACCTTTTTATTAGGGTTAACAGTTAAATCTTTTTCATCTATTTTATAGTAATAAAAAAGAAAATTGGTTATTTGATTTATATTTTATAGTATTATAATTAATTATTAAAAAAATGATCTATTACCATTAAAATAACTTCTTTTATTAGATTTTTCTTCTGCTTTTTTAAATTAAATATAAATTAGAATTAAAAATCAAAATCTAAAATTCATTTATATTAAATTGCTAATCCTACCAATAATCAAACCATCTTGTAAATTAAAATCAAATTGTATACTATGATAAGCTATAAAAATAAAGTTAATATAAAAAAAATATTATTATTATTAAGTTAACCATAAACAATAATATTAAGTTCAGTTAACCATGTTATAATAATTACCATCTTGTTCTTCTATTAAGTAAATAAATAAAATGAATAATTAATATTATAAAAAGTAAAATTATACTATAGAAAAATTCATACCTTTTGTTGCATTCCTTGGTTCAGGTAAATTTTCAAAACTATAAACTCTACTATTATTCCAGTTACTAGAACCTTTACTAGAATTCTCAAAAAAAGAATTATTAGTAGAGCTAGAATTTACATTAAAATTTGTATTTAGAGAATTATAAGTATTTGTAATGTTGATTATCTGTTCATAATTTTCATTTTGACAATATGACCTATAGATTTCTGCTATTTTAACAGAAAGAGCAGAAATATCAGGCCTTTTTGTTGCATCAGCATCCCAACATTGTTCCATTAATTCTTTATATTCTAAAGGAGTGCCTGGTATTATTTTTGGTCTCATTCCATTTATTATTTTTATTGCAAGATCATAATCATGTTTATTAATAAAAGGTGGTGGTCCAGATGAGATTTCCCACATAAGTATGCCAATACTATAAATATCAGATGCAAAAGAATATTTCTTTTCAACAATGACTTCAGGTGCTATATATGAAAGATTACCATATATACTATCTAATGGTATATTAGCTGGTCCACAAAGTCCAAGATCACTGACATAAAATTTTTGATTAATTTGACTAAATAATATATTTCCAGAATGTAAATCTCTGTGAATTGCATTCTCTTCATGAATTATAGAAACTGCTTGCATTATATAATCAGTAATTTGAATTCTTTTTTTCCATGTGAGTTTATTATGATTTTGTTGCAGATATTCTCTTAAATTCATATCCTTATAATCAATTACAAGCATATAATTTCCATTAAATGGATTTTGAGTTAAACCAAAACATTGCACTATAAGAGTACCTTTGCTACATATGTGTAAATGAGATATACCCTACAAAAATTAAAAGAAATTGCAATTAAATTTTTTTAAAAAATAATTTTAATTATTGTATATACCTTCTCAAGCCAACTTTTATTAGCACGTTCAACATTTTCTAATTTTTTGAGCACTACACTTGTCCATCCATCTCGTTTTAATTGTTTTTCTTTTGGATTCCACTCTTCGTAACATCCATCAATCCAATCTGCTGTATATATTTCAGAACATCCACCCTTGGTTAAATATTTAATATTTTGTAAATTATTATATGGTATCCATTCTACTATATTATATGGACTAAGTGCTTTATTTGACATTGTTTTATTAAATTATTAATATCATTATTTCCAGATGTCCAGTTTGAAAAATTTTCTTTTAAATAATTTCGAATACAGTGTTCACAATATAATGTAGCTAAACATTCATAATGACAATTTTCACAAATTCTTTTTTTACCTTCATTTAAAAGAATTTTAAAATAATCAAATCCTTCATTTAGTATTTTTACTACCATTGATTTTTCATCCTTTGTAAGAGATCCGTCAGCAAGAACTGTTTGCATTCTATATTCATGTTGTTTTTCTAAACTATTATGGATATTAAAATCTGTTAATGCATATACTCTATTAATTGTAGCTGAAATTATTTCTTCTCGAATAGTAGCCATAATACTGTGATAAAATTTAAAACATGAAAGGATGAACGGGAAAAAGGTCTATTAAATTCTGGAGTGAGTTTCAAAAATTTCCGTAAAGGGACCGTGTTCGATTACGGGATGTACCGATTGTACATTGATCACTATAAATAGCCAGACATTCTGATTGGCTTATGATCACGTGAACGAACATGGCTTTTAGACGATGGGCAAGAACATATGAATTCTTAATCACGTGAGTGAAATTGATAACTGAAAAGAATTTTTTTTTTAAAGCGTAACAAAAAAAAAAAAACTTTAATAGGTGTATATAATAAATTGAAACGTTATATTTATTTTATTATTCATTTTTGTTCGTTATTATACTCATTGTATTTCTTTGATTTTGGTACAAGTCACTAATTTTTGTTTATTAATATTTGTCTTAAAAAGAAAAATGTTGTTTATGGTACTATTCGAATCAACTAAGTTTTTATGTCCATTTTTTTCTGATAATTAATATTCGTTGGTGTAGGTTTTTATAAAATTAACAATATACTTTATTAAATCATTATATAAAAATGTATATAGTGATGCATTAAAAAAAAAATTTCACATCCAAAAGAGGAATTTATTTTGTGCGGGTCTGCTGCGTGATGAATAAGTTAGCAATTAACGGTTACACCACATTAGCATATAAATTGTTATTTATTTATGGCATAAAAAAAAAAATGTCTACTCAATTTTTTTCGAAATTAAGTCAAAATCTTATTGAATTATTAAAAGATGATGAATATTATGATATTACAATTGAAAGAAGATCCTAACGTAAAATATTTCGGGCACATACAAATATATTATGTTATCGTTCTCCATATTTAAGAAGAACAATAGCACAAATAAAAAAAATAATGATAATATCTTAACTCATATTAGATTAATATCACCAGAAATTTTTCAAATAATTTTAACGTAAGAATTTTAATAAATTTAATTTAATGTATCATCATTTTTTAATTTCTATTCATTTAACCTTTTTTTTTTTATTGTATATTGTAAGTATATTTATGGTGGTATTCTTTCTTTGAATGATCAGAAAATTTGGAATTATTGGCTACTGCTGATCAACTTCAACTTCAAGAATTAGTTGATTATTTACAAAAATATTTAATTTGAAAATAAAATCCGTGTGTAATCTACCAACAACTAAATATGTACGTAAAATCAAAAATCGACCAAAATAAATTTCTAAAATATCAATTATGTTAATATCATCAAAGAAATGTCAACTTGAATAATCAATCAATCACGAAATTGAAATTTAAGCTCCAGGGAAGTATTGTTGTGATAATTTATGATAATCTTATGATATTAAACAAGTTACGAACTGTATATTCAAAGTAATAGAGCAAAATGTATTGATTAATATGGAATTTTAAATTTTGATAATTTAAATAATTTAAAAATGTATTTATAATACAAGTTCATAATTTATTTGAGCTTTTGATAACTTAAAATAGTGAGAAACCTAAAATTATAGAATTTTTGTTGAAGTCAGGTTTTTATGGAAATTAAAATCTAAGTTTATTAAAAATGTTTAAATTTGAAATGATTTTTAGATTATTTCGATCAAAAAGAAAAAATTATTGAAAATTCATTACGATTTTATAACAAACATTCATTGATTTTTATAGTAATAATATAACTAATTCACGCTACGCTATTGCTTACAAAATAAAAAAGAATTAGTTTGTATTGTATGGTCCATGTTTCAAGTTGCATATTGAGTGAGTGAGTGAATGAGACTAGTGCTTTGATCCGGATGAAATCCGTCATCCAGATTACACAAAAAAAAAATCCGGATTATATCCGGTTTGATCCGGATTGAAATCTGGGTCAGAAATCCGGGTGAAATCCGGAATCCGGATCAGATTTCATATATAAAATTTTTTAGATTGCATATGACGATCCATATTAGAGATAATGGTACTTATTAATACAATTTGGTAGGTTTTTTTAAATTTTGTAGCCTTTTTTCTGATTTGATTATTGAATTTGAATTAGCTTATTTTATCGTAATTCGGGCCGGCACTATTAATTTGGCCTGAGTTACAAATTTTATTCAAATTTTGATAAAATTAGGCTTAAAAAACAATATCGCTTCTTAAATTATGATTTTACTTAATAAGATTAATAAAAATGTAAAAATAATTTTCACTTTAATTATATTAAATAAATTAATAATAAATAAATAATTTTTTACTAATCATCAATTTATTGTTGTTCATGACAAAATTTATATATTACAAATTATTTATCAGTTGCGAAACTAATAGACTATTTATTTATTACAAAATCTATAAAAAATATTAGAAAAAATTTTTTTTTTCTATCCGGATTCCGGATGAATCCAGATATTTTTCATCCGGATCAAAATCCGGATCAAAACCGGATATCCGGATGAAAAAAAAATCTGGATTCATCCGGATTCATCCGGATGGACTAGAAACGGATCGAAGCACTAAATGAGACACTATATTCTAGATAATTTTTTTCGGAAGTTAACGTAACAAATTAAACTTCCTATTTTCATCAATAAATTAACAGGCGAATTTTTTAAAGTAAACTCTAGCGTCTTTAGTTATTGTATATATATAGGCAACAACTAGCTCTACGAATCTCTTCAAACCAGAATTACATAATGCCGCCTGTATTATCCAAAAAGGAAGGATCTACAAGTTAGTTTGTGCAAACTCTGTAGGGTATGGTTAAACATCACGAACAAAAGGAACACGTGACCAAACGTGGTACAGAATAGAACGGTCTAGGCCTTTCTTTATTTGGTAATAAACAATGTAGATCTGTATGGAGAAATTTTGCATACCCTGGTATCCATACACTACATGTTACTACATGTTATCGTTAACCGTGGAATTTTTTTTCACATAAACTTACTTCTAAAAGAATTTATATTATAAAAATGAGCTTTATTAATGAAAATCAATTAGTATCTGAATTTGATAAATTAAATATTTTCAATAAAGATTCTTATTCAGTAGAAATTAATCATGAAAATTGTTATGATCCAAATAATAAAAATTTTGGTGTAAAGAATGCGTTCCTCGTTGCGTAATTGAAGGATGGACCAGTGGAAATGATGATATTAATGATTTTATCAAGGATACGATTTATGATGCACATGAGGAATATATTGGTGGTGGTGTATATTATCCATCATATCTTGAATGGGTTCCATTTGATAGATTTAAAGGTATTAAACAAATAGGTGAAGGTGGATTTGCAAAAGTGTATTCTGCAACTTGGGTTGATGGTATATCAAAATACATTAAACAAGATGACGGAAATTGGATAAAATGTGAACCTAAATCCATAAAAGTTGTTTTAAAAAGATTAAATGGATCACAGAATGTGTCAGCTGATTTTTTAAATGAGGTATTTTTTTTCACATATACTTTATATTTAAACTATTAAAAAATTTATTTTATTTTAATTTTGAATAATAGCTTAAAACACATTGGAAATTAAATTGCTTACAAGATAGTTCTTTAAAATTTTATGGAATAACTAAAGACCAGAAACAAAAGAAATTATAATGGTTATGCAATATGCAGATGATGGAAATTTGAAAAATGTTTTATCAAGTAATTTTAACAACATTTATTGGATTGAAAAAATTATTTATTTAATGAATTCAGTAGATGACCGTAATAATTTACATAAATTAGGATATTTCATAAAGATTTCCATAGTGGAAATATATTAAATATTGATACAAATTCTTACATATCAGATTTTGGATTATCTGGAGCGTTAAATGAACAAAAATTAGATAATAAAATATATGGTGTGTTGCCATATATTGCTCCAGAAGTTTTAAATGGAGAACCATATACATTATCCTTAGATATTTATAGTTTTGGTGTAGTTATGGCTGAATTATCATCTGGAAAACCACCTTTTCATAAAAGAAAACATGATAATAGCTTAGCATTAGAAATATGTAATGGACTCAGACCAGAATTTGGAAAAGGAACTCCCGAAATTTATAAGAAATTAGCTCATAGATGTATGAATGCTAATCCAAATCAAAGACCAACAGCCAATGAATTACACAAAATATTAGAATGTTGGTATAATTATTTGTTTTATACGAATAATGATGAAGGAGAAGAAGTTAGAGCTGTATTTAAAGAAGCTAATAAAGAAATACCAAATATTTCTACCTCATATGAAAAAAAATCTGATGCTATATATACTAGTAGAGCATTTACATTTAAAAATTTATCAAAACCCATTAATTCATCTTTTATTGTTACTACATATCTTAATGAAGATAATGAAGGTAATGCTAATTTTTAAATTTTATAAAATAATTAAGATAATGGCTAATTTTATTTACTATAATAGGTTGTCAAGATTCTCAATTAGTTGATTTGGATATTTCTAACTCATTAAAATTAAGAGGTGAATATAACTTATTACCTTATCTATTTTTATGATGTTAAAATAAACTAATAATTTTTTAAATAATAGATGATGATGTTGATAACTAAGTGAATCAAATTCAAAATTTTATACCAAATATTGTTTTTTTATTTATTTATATTATGGTTATACTAAGAACTATGTGGATTTTATTTATAAATGTTTTATATACTTTTAAAATAATTTAAAGGAAAATTTTACTTTCATAGCTTCATAATCATAATGATCATTTTTATTCCTTGCTTTAATTCTATTGTTATTATTCTCACTTCTAGTTTGTTCAATAATCTATTTCTCAACTTGCTTAAAATAATAAAATATCCATAAACAATATTTTTTGAAATTATTAATTTTCATAGTGAATTGACACATTAATCGTTTTATGTCTTTGTGTAATAATAATTTTTTTTATATAACAGATATCTTAAAATAAAGAATTATAAATTATATGATATTCTTCAATCTTTGTACTGTAACTCATTTATATAGTAGAATTAGTAGTGAAATAGCTTAACATTACTTTCTTTATTTTATGGGTTGTCGTCACCGTAGCCAACAAAAAGAAATAACTTTTTGAATAAGAAAATTGAAAACCATTATTTGAAGTCCACTTTAACTTGTATCAAACAGTTCGTAATGGGAGTGAATAAACAGTTGGTGATGTTGAAATACGTCAACAAACAAATATACACTTTTTGAACTGCCAAAAAATATTTCTGATTTTTGTTAAAATCGAATTAAACTAGTGTTGTGAATTGTGATAAATTACAAATGAATGTTATTTGGTATTTCCATTTGGTTATAAACAACTCTGTATCACGCAATGAAATCAAATCTTACAATAATATTATTAATATATGAACGAAATTACTTCTTAAATAAACCATTATATATTTATTAGATCATGGTTACCAATAATCATTTTACTGACAATTATCTCACCGACAGACATTACACTGACAGGATCATTTTACAAACAAATGTTTCATCTCACTGACAAGGGAATTTAGAATTAGAGTTAAAAAAATTAGGATTGTTAGGTAAGGAACTAGGGATAAGATTAGAGTTAGGATAAGGTTAGGTAAGTGGAAATGAGCCAGACCCAGATCACACTATATTATTATTTCACACGATTGAAATTACTATTATAAGTAGTAACTTTTTAATAAGACATCAATATAAAAAGTAAATATAGGAGAAATTTTAATTAAAATTGCAAAAAATTAACCTTTTACCCATCTCACAAAGATCATCTTTTGTAAAATATAAAAGCAACGCCATTTCTGGGTGTTTGTATAGGGCAATTGATATTCTGTGTTAAGTTTGCAATATGGAAAGGCTTATTATATAATAAATTTAAGAGCTCATTGTAAAAATTTATATTAGTACATATCATTATGAATCATAGATTTTAGACATTGAATTGAAACAGATTAGTCAATTTCATCAAACAATTTATATTTATGTTAAAAGAACATATTATAGACTACTGAATTGACTTTAAATAAATTTATTTCTTTATGCAGTACTTATAAAATTCAAAATTAAAGTTAATTTATATGATAACTAAATTGAATGAATAATTTAAATTACAAACTAAAAAAACATTGCTAAGTATTTTATCTTACTACTCTAATCTCAGTGTTTAAACTATTCAGAAAAAAATATAAAAATATAAAATAAATTCAAAGAAACCAAAATCTATAAAATATTAAATACTATCAGGAATTTCCGATTCATCTTGTTCTTCTGAATGAAGATTTGGATTATTAAGTATTCCATTTTAGTCTGTAAGATAAATGAATTAGAAATTATGATATTATTGAATTGATATGATTTAATATGTAAATACCTTCAAGATTGATATTCTTAGTCTGTTGTTGCATTGTTTCAATTTTATTATCCATTTGAGCTTCTTTACTATTAAAATCATCAACTATAAAGCAAAATTCAATTAGTAAAATGATTAATGAATATCATATCATAATAGACACTTACTATTATCAGGAATTTGAAAGACATCATATGATTTACTATAATATGCTACAAAGAAATAAAAACATTAGGTATTATAAGTAAATAACTTTCAAATAAAAATTGTCATTCATATCTTCTTTTTCTTCTATTGTTATAATTGAGAATTTTGAAAAAATATAAATTTTACAATATTAAATTTCATAAATAATGATAAGTATATGATAATTAATACCTTCTGTTGCATTTTTCGGTTCAGAAAAAAATCCAAATTGATGAACTTTACTTGCAGATAATATGCTACTTGTATAGTTTGTTTTAAAACTACTTGTTTTATTTATTTCAAAATTTTTATTTATTTCCAATTGAGTTGGCTCATTTGATTTTTTTTGATGATATAAATTAATTGCATTTATTTTTTCCCACAGTGTATAAGCATCAGGTCTTTTTAATGGATCAGCATCCCAACATTGGTTCATTAAACTTTCATATTCTAAAGGGGTTCCTGATATTATTCTTGGTCTTATACCATTAATAATATTCAATATAAGATCATAATCATGTTTGCAATTAAGAAATGGTGGTTGTCCAGATGAAATTTCCCACATAAGCATAGCAAAACTATAAATATCAGATGCTTTTGTAGTCTGTTTTCCAGCAACAACCTCAGGTGCTATGTAAGGAAGATTTCCATATATACTTTTTAATGGTTTATCTGCAGGGCCACAAAATCCCAAATCACTAATATACCAATCCTGGTCTCTCTCTGAATGCAATATATTTCCAGAATGTAAATCTCTATGAATTGCATCCTCCCTATGAATATCGTCAAGTGCATAAATTATATTAACAGTAATTTGAATTCTTTCTTCCCATGTAAGTTGATTATGATTTTGTTGTAAATATTCTCTTAAATTTACATCCAATTCATTTAATACAAGCATGAAATTTCCATTTGATGGATCTTGTGTTAGGCCATAACAGCTAACAATACGTGGCCATTTATTGCTCATAGTTAAATGTGATTTAGCCTATAAAAAAACAATTTTTTAAAAATTTTTATATTAAGGACTTCTAATTATACACTTTTGAAATACAAACCTCTTCAAACCAACTATTATTTGCATTTTCAATGTTTTCTAGTTTTTTAAGTATTACTTCTTGTTCTCCAAATCTTTTTAATTGTTGTTTCTTAGAATCCCATTCATCATAGCCTCCGTCAATCCAATCTGCTTTATAAATTTTAGAGAATCCACCTTCCGTTAGGTAACTAATATTTTGCAAATTATTATATGGAATCCATTCGATTATCATCCGTGGATGAAGTGTTTCCAATTGACATTTTTGTATTAAATTATCAATATTATCATTTCCAGACGTCCAATTTGAAAAATTTGCTTTTAAATAATTTCGAATACAATATTCACAAAATAATGTAGCCAAACATTCTTGATTACAATTATCACAAATTCTTTCTGTTCCTGAATTTTCAAGAACTTTAGCACTATCATAAGTTTCAGTTATTGCTTTTATTGCCTCAGTTTTTTCATCTTCTGTAAGAAATTTATCAGCAAGAAGTGTTTGTTTTTGAAATTCAAAATCTTTATGTATATCATCATGAATAGTAGCATCTATTAATGCAAATGCTCTATTAATTGCTGCCTGGACTACTTCTTCTCGAATATTAGACATGATGCAATCTTATATTATCTTTTTATAAACTAAGAAATTTGTATAGTAGAAAAAGAAGGTTCAGTTTCGTGATCGGCATTTGATTAACTTTGATTAAATTAGCAATTAGGTGTAACAAAATATTACGCCATACCACTACTATATCGAGATTTATTAAAAACGATTGTAAATTTATTAAGTTTTTTCAGTAGTTATATATTTTTTCTCAATATTTTTCTTGAACATTACAAAAATTGCACTCTTTCATTATAAATTTACGCTTTGTTCTTTAAAACATCATCATATTGGAAAAAAATATTATCGACTAAAAATTTTTTTATATCAGTCACCGGAAAAATTTCATATGCAGATCATTTTCATATTAACCAATTTTGTGCAACATTAATCGATATAACATAAACTTCGCCCATTTTACTATGTAATAGAATGGTTTGTTTACGTAATAAAGAACATTTATTTATCATTTAATTAAAATTATGTCATACGGGGATACGGGTTGGGAATTGTTTTTTAAAGTACGTATTTATAGTTTTACTAAACTATATTAAGGCTGTTTTCATAATATTTATGGATCGAAATTTAACAAGGATCGATAAGACAAGACGCCTATGAGCATTGAGGGCCGGAATTACTTAATGCCAGCTGGAATTAACCGAAAAGGAAATATCGGCATTATCTCATAAAATTCCGAGACCTTTCCTTTTATGTATATTTCGGGTCTTCATTATCCCAGATTTTAATAAATTATGCAACAAAAAATTATACAACATCACATTCTTTGTGAACCCTGGCTGAGGTGAATTCATTTTAACAATGACAAATTTTATAGCAAAGCAGCAAAAGGGTAGACACATACTATATAAATAAGCACCAAGTGTCAAAGTAAAATGAAATTTATCAAAATATTCGTTTTTTTGATAAAATGTCTAAAGACACTTCATCTCCCACCAAACCCATCAGTGCTCTTGATGATTATGTTTTATTGGACCCTAGTGGATTAAGAGTTTCTCCATTATGTCTTGGCGCTTTGGCCAAAATTATGACGTTAATTATAGGAAATTCCTTAATTTTTAATTTAATTTCTATGATGATCTGTTTTGATCTAACATATGAAAAGACTTTCGGAGAAACATGGGTAAGTTCATTTGTTAGAAAAAAAACCTAACAAAATAATATAACATATAAATATACAAATAGGGACTATGAAGAATCGAAAAAAGTTTTTGACCTTTATTATGAAAAAGGTGGAAACTTCTTTGGTAAATAAATTATTTATGCAGTTATTCTACGTTAGAAGATACTTTAACAATCATAATGTATATTACTTTTAGACACCGCTTGCAATTATAACATGGGTGAAGTAAGTATGATCATCTGCTCAAATATTACTTTTTGCTTTAAAAAAATTTTTTTTTTTTTTAGCTGATAAATATTTAAATAATAATTAAAAATCAATTTAGAGTGAACGTTGGCATACAAAACCTATTTTTTTTATTTTAATAATATTTTAGAAATATATATATATATATATCAAATTTGTTTAAATTATAATTAGACTTACTTTTCCACTTCGAATGACATCATCTAATGATCTCATAAATTCTTCAATTATTCATAGAAATGAACGAGATATCAACATAACTCATATTCAATCTTTTTAAACTTGCATCCAAATTTTCCACAAGACTTTTTCGATGATTTCCTCCTAAATATATTGATATATATATTTATAAGTATTTTCGATCATTATCATCAACTAATATAACAACGATTAGTTTAGTATCAACTTACCAGAATTCGGAATGTACCTCTTATCCTTTTGCATATTGGTTACATTAGCTATAAAATAAAATAAAATAATTTAGAAAATTATTTAAAATCAAAAAATTAAACGATGTTACATAATAGAAAAAATTCAACACCAGAAAATTTTGTTGCAATTACGACATCGGATCGTTTATGCCATAAGCGATATGCCAGCTTGGGCACTCTCTCGTTCTAACACTATTGCTGAAAGCTTTTAGGTTAACACATATCTATTAACTATATTTAGCCCTTTCATTGGACTTCAAACGCGTTATAATTTGTTGGAGCGAACGATGGAAACCGACCTACAGCTTGCCTGTGCTGGACATGGTGTATGTATTATAAGCGTTTGCCAATACTGTAAAAAGAAACAAAATAAATATTTTTTTTTTTTTTTCATAATAAAAAAAATAATATTTTAGGTTGGAATCATTCCATGGGGTGTTGTCGCAGAAGGGTAATTAACCATTGATACTCTTTTTTTTTCTTTCTTTCTTATACATTAAATATATATTTACAACTTTTTTTTGTTTGTAACCAGGTTTCTTACCGGAAAATATTAATTCAGAAGCAACATCGGAATTTCGTAATAGATTTATCGCAGAACATTCGATATCTGAAAAAAATTGGAAAATCTTGGATGAAGTTAAAGCTATTTCAGAAGAGATCGGAAGAACACCTATTCAAGTAATAATTTATATTCAACCTTTATATAATACTACAAGATTTACTTTCTTTATAAACTGATAATGTAATATATATATAATACGTAGGTTACTTTGAATTGGACCATGCAAAAACCTGGTATTACTTCTCCTTTAATTGGTGCTAAAACAGTTAATCAGCTCGAAGAAAATCTTAAAGCACTTGAATTTAAGTAAGTGCATCTATTTAAATAAAAAAGAATTTTTTTTTTTTTTTCTTAAAAAAAATTAATTTATTAAAAATAATTTTTTTTTTTTTTTAGATTGACACCTGAACAAATGAAAAGACTTGATGATGTTTCTGAAGTTGAACATCCATTTCCTTATAAATTAATTGATTTAATGGATTTAAATCTTGGAAAGTATGGCAAGCCGAGCTGGACTAAACTATCAGGCATTGGGCGGGTGAAAAATCAAGCATGGATTGACAAAATGTTACACTGTGCCTGACATTTTACCTGTTCATGCTTGATATTCATCTGTCCCGTGCTTGATATTTATCTGTATGTGCTTGATATTTTTATCTGTTCATGCTTGATGTTTATCTATCACGTGCTTGATATTTTTATCTGTTCATGCTTGATGTTTATCTGTACATGCTCTATGTTTTATCTGTACGTGCTTGATGTTTTATC